ACACATCTTCAAGCCGCCACGTTTGAGGAACCCTGTTATAGAGCATATTTTGATTGTAATCCTAACAGACTCTGTGTGTCAGATTCCTCATGGAAATGACTAGGAGCTAATCATTCATATGGATCCCTCAGCATCAGGATTATATCTGCTTAGGTCCGGTATCAACATCCAACATCTCTGAACAGCTGTCGGGATTTAGTACCAAAAAGTGATATTTAAGCTCTGGGTAGATACCACCAAGGCACTGGAATCTGGAAAACCATTATCTACATTTCCACCGTAACTCCAGAGCACCCAATATAGCCTCTGTAATTTATTATAATGCCCTAGAGCTGTCTTCTCCAAGCTGGTATGCTCCAGGTTATTAGACCGTGACTCCCAGAATTAAGGATGGCTAGTATATCTTCACCCATGCATGTACACCAATGTACACCCACATGCAATTTACTTAACTTATCAACTGCTTTCCCATGGACATGCTCAACAAAATCTCCATTGACTAGTAACATCTGGGAACAAGAGAGTTCAAAATTCTCGTGAATGTAAGAATTGCCTGATGGAAACCTGCATGATACACCTACTCTCCACTCCTATCTGTGCCATACTTTATATCATTCCAGGCTCCCTCACCTAGTGCTAGGAAGCTCCAAGGCTGCTGTTTGGATGCTTATTCCTGAGCACTGAAGATTTCTGAAGCTCTTGTCATAAATTGTTCACTTATAACGTACAAGGAGCAGATGGGGACTGTGCCCACTCACAAATAATGCTGACAGCTTGGCCAAAACAAGTGTAAAGCTGTAAATCATAATTTAAGTTGGATCCTTTTCTTCCCAGCTTCTGCAACTCTGTCTGCCCATAGCTGCCAATCACTAATGCGTGTAAATGGAAGGCCCTTTTCTTGGCAACATTACGAAAGTGGTTTGTCATTGTGTTCTTCCAGGATGTTTCGTTGACTTCCCAATATAGCCAACAATCTTGGAATGTTCTTGTGGTCTCCCACTCAAATCATCATCAGGTGCTATCCGATTAACCTTCCAAGTTCATCGCGGGTCTGTCTGATGCAGCCACCCCGGGATACAGAAATAGGCAAGGTTCCTGCACTTTATGGGGTCTATAGAAAACTTTGTATTATCCCTGCTGAAATGACCTGTTCCATGCAGGTATTAAAAGTGTCGAAATGTTCCCCCCACGCCCTCCTTCTGCTATTCTGTCTTTTGCCCTGGAAAAATGTCGTAACATTAATACTGCATGCAGCCAACATTCATCAGAGAACAGGGGCTTTTTGCAATGAAAACTAAAGTACTCCCCCCAAATACACAGTCTCCCGTAGATTAGAAACAAAGATGCTGCTTGGAGAATGTCTTTTTCTTTTTCCTGGCCATAAAAAACCCCCATAAAACCTGGCCAAGAAAACCGCAGGGAAGTAATCCCCAGAATCAAGCTTGACTTGAGAGCAGCTTCACCTTTTTATGTGGGAGACACCACTTGACATGTAATAGTTGCATCACATAATTCCTTCCCTCTTGTTGCAAGAACAACAAGTCTTATCATTGTCTCGAGTACTTGGAATCCAAGACTTACTGTATAACAAGCCTTTTCCCTCTCTCTTTAATATGTGGCTGTGTGCCCACCTACTGCATATCATGTAAGGTGAGAAAGTGGCAAAATAGTTAAGTTCCTAGCAACTAAGTGGCAGAACACTCATCCTGCAGTCCATATGCTCTCCTTGGGGCTGACAGTTCAGCCACAGCCATCCATGTTTCCATATTTACATGCAACAGTGTTCTCATACAGCTGTGCTCTGGTGTAGTATGAAGTAGGTGAATGATGTGGATGTTCATAGGGGATGGAATTATTGGATGCTACAATGGATGGGGAGAAAGACGATCTTAAAGCAAAGTTTCTCAGCCTCAGCAACTTTAAGATGTGTGGACTTCAACTCCCAGAATTCCTCCAGCATGCTGGCTGGAGGAATTCTGGAAGTTGAAGTCCACACGTCTTAAAGTTGCTGAGGCTGAGAAGCACAGCCTTAAAGCACCCTCCCCCTTTGTAGGCGGAGAAAGGGAAAACTGAGCGTTTCAAAAGAGCGCTTGGGAGTCAGCAGCCCAAATTTAAATCTCATCCACAGAGGATGGGAATTAAGCATCTCAACAACCCTTTAAGCTCCTTTTGAAACCGATGGGTCAAATCTATATGGAGAAACACCAAGCTTATCCCAAGCTCTTCTCTGCCAGGTGAGATTGTTCCAACCAAGACATTGCTGAGAGTCTGTAATCCTCTAAACATTCCCTGTTACAGTGACACTTGTTGGGCTTTTGACTCACACTGGCCAGCTGCAGAGCACTCCATTGCAACTCCTGCTAACAAGGAAATGACTGCTCCTATTTCCCTTCTCCCTGGTAGAGAGGGAAAGAGAACCCATGGCTTTGCAGGTAGAACTTCAATCCCTAGGACTTCTACCCAAGCCATCTACTTGTTTAAAGCATTCATATGCCCCATGTCATCATCATTGTATGATGAAAGGTATGATAGTATGAAGATTTGCCTCTCAGCCAAAATCAAGTGGTTTGATTTGCATGAGCTTCTGGAGTGGGGTATACAAAAGACAGTAAATGAAAACCCCAAAGTCTGATGTTCTGGAACTTACAGCTGCTGTGGGTTTCTGGGGATCTTGGTTTTTCTCTGATATTCTGTTTGACCTTCAAATGAAGAGCTGTCAAGTGGGAACTGGCAGGCGTTCTTCATCTGTTACCCCCGATGGTTGGTGGCCATCATAAAAGCCAGCCACTTCAGTTCCAGTTTCAGCTGCAGTAGAAGTTGGTAAGGCTGTGCAAATAAAATGCACAGATCAAAAAATAAACCTTATCTGAAAACCCCAAAAGATTGTCATTTAGACTCCTGGCATTCCTTGCTGCATGGAGACGTCACTCCAAAACCAGCATCCTCTTAAAGCAAATCTCCTCCTTTATAATTACATAACACATTTGGAATGAGGAAGGAACATAAAGTTTCAGAGGAAGATTTCGGACATGGCAAGGCTGGGATGAGAAGAAACAACTTTGATCATAACGCATCTAAAGCAAGAGCTAGCCAATTTAATTAAGACCAGAAGTAAACAGAGCAGTTCTTTTTATTATTATACGATTGTGTGAACCAGTCCAACAGTTTCAGTGAAAATGGCAGCCAGTCTGCACAAATTGGCCCTTCCAAGTCATCTTCAAGGGCAACCTCACATATATTAGCAATTCAGTCAGGAGGCTCCCAAAGCATGAATGATTATTGCCAAGTATGTCAAGAGTCAGGAAGGTGAGGACCAGGACTGGAAAAGTCATCCATCCACCTGCGATCCAGGAAAACAATTTCCAGTCAGGCAGTGAATGATGGAACAATGTTCAGCATGACATCTGATTGTACTGTATCTTGGCTTGCAAATCAGTTGCTCTGGGAATCATTTAAACTCTAGTGGACCAGGGTGCAGTTAGGAAGCTAGATGGTGTCCAGGGAAACCTTTGAAGTCCTTAGGAGGAAAGAGATTAAAACTCTTGGCCCAGGAGAGAACCAGTGCAAGATACGATGTGCTTCCCACTCTAGGTACCCACATCACATGAGATCTTTATTCTCCCCACCCCTGGGCAAACATTTGTGCCTTCCAGTGGAACAAACCTGGATACTTTAGTGCTGACCCCAGCATCATCTCATACAACTCAGGCCGCTGGTGTCGAGAGGACACTTGGAAATGAATGGTTGATGATCCTTTTGGCACCATCAAACAACTGAGTGCTAAAACATGCCATGTCTTATGGCAAATGTTTTCAGAAGGGCAGAGGGATGGGAGAAGAAAAACCCAAAACACAAGCTGTTCTTTGTAGAAAATTGTTGGAGATTCAGGCAGCCAGAAGTAGATATTTACCAAAACAGGTGCTGATGGAATTGAATCAAATTAGATTCTCAATTTGATTCAAATTAATTCAAAGACAAGTCACTGTGGCATCACTAATCAATGCCTGCTTTATTGCATGCCACACATTTTAATCAGAATCAATAGTGTCCATGATAAACAATTAAATAATTATTCCTCACGGTGTTGATTTTTTCCTACTGAAATTGATGGGTGCAGAGAGACGGTGCCAAGTTCTGTGCTGATACATTACTGATGGCCACTGTTCCCCTCTGCATTAAGCAGTGTCTGGCACCAGAGATTCCTTTGAATAAATCAGCCAGTGCGCAGTCAACAATCGTAAGGATACAAGAAAAGCTTTGAGCTAATCTCCCTGCGCCTTCCTTCATAGGTTACAAGGAAAAGGAGCACACCCCATACTTTGTCCTGAGCGATTTAGTAAAAGAGAAGAACAGAAATGTAGTCAGTGCCAACGACTTGCCACTATGCCGTCTTCATAATTTTTTCTTCTTCTTTAACGTTCTTGAACTGCTACAAGATAAATCTTAAGTTCCAGGGGCACGAGGGAAATACTGTAGCAGGAACAAAACTTGTAAACCAAGCAAGGTATGCCAAAGGATGTTATATTGGTTTGAGGACGTGGACTTTCTTCTTGAAGAATTGGCCTGTGATGAGATTCTATTCTCCTTTCTGGCCCACCCGCCATCCATCTCAATAATGGGGAAGCATGATCTCAGTGCTTTCAGAGCCCGGGGTGAACTTTACTGGGTGGGGAATGCAACTGCCAGAGGGCGGTACTAAGGGGCCTTAGGAGACACGCGGGGCAAGAACGCACCGTGCGTGGTGGAAAGGTGAGGTGGAATAAAATCAGGAGGCTGCAGTCATGTGAACTGCACTTCAGTTCCAAGCAGGACCTGAGGTTTCTGCAAGTAAAGCGCTCCACTCTTCCCTTCCGAGGCTCAGCCTGGCGTTGATTTCACTTTGAATGGAAATGGCAGGTATTCTAACCTTGGTGGTGTTTAAATAACAGCAACAACAACAAGGGGCTACTTTTCAACAGCTTAAGGGCACAGCTCTCAAACTAGCCAAAAAAAAATTTTTTTCAGCATTGGTCCATAGTTGGACCAACCGGGACTGCCTTTGAGATTCTTCCATTCATGCCTCCAAATTTCTATTAGCATCAAATTCCTAGGACCATCATAACTGCTCTGTGTTTTGAATTTCAGAACGGCCAGCCCCTCCCAGGGAACTAAAAGTCCCTCAGTCTGAAGTGACATCCCGGAGTTTACAGCTACATTGGGTTCCTGGAAGCGACGGCTCTTCTCCAATACGTTACTTTACCATTCAAATGAAAGAGCTACCGGATAGCGATTGGAAAACATATTCTTCCTCTGTCAGCCACAAAGCTACCTCCTGTTTGATTGACAGGTAGGTCTCATATAAATACTTGCATCAGGAGATGACAGAAAACACAATACACATCTTCTAATCTCAAAGCACCAAAGAGAGGCTCCTTTTATTGACAAGCATAAGAGACAAAGACATTGTTAGAGATTTATATTCTTAATATGTGATTCAAAGGTTGAATTTGATACTTAGGTTATAATGGTCCATCCAGCTCTCAAAACTAGTTCTATTAAAGCTAATATAATGATTTTGGGGACTAAGAATTCTTCCCCCACCTCCAAATAATAATAGTAAGTATTGGATTTATCATAAATTTTGCACCAGTGTGCCTTTGCCCAAATTCCAAGGTATCGTGAGTGATGAAGAGTGATATTGCATGTGGGTGTTTGAAGTGGTTTGCTGTGATGTTTGCCTCCCTGGACACAAATGCTTCCATCTTAGATTTGTCCCCGTGTGTTGTGTGGTTCTGCTTATTTGTGTCAAAATTCAAGATCAGAAAATTGTGGCCAAATAAATTGAGAGTCTGGGAGCTGGACCAATGAGTCCTGAGCTCAAATCTCCACATTTAACCCATCACCTATAAATAGCAAGGATCCACAACTTTTGGCTTTCTCATTGTTATGAGGGGGATTTAACTATTTTCCCCCAAAATATACTCTTTCAATAAATTAATAAATGATGAAAGGGACCAAACAAAAAAGAAATCAGGCGATTAAAGTGCTTCCCCAACAGAGAGGAACAAGCACTGAGTAATTAATATCAGGGTGACGCTATTTATCAAGAGTATTGCTCCCACACTGAACAGGAAGTAATAAAAAGGGCATAGACAAGAAGGAGAAAGCTTCTAATTAAAATTGCTGGAGTTAGTTATTGAATGAACTTTTTTTCTGAACAGATTTATTGCAGCTGCTTGGCTAGGGCATTGCTAAAACATGTAGCACTGGGGCATGTGGAATCACTATTTAATTCAAAATAGTTGGTTACACAACAACAATATGGGAAAGCATCATGCTGAACCCACCCACCCCCACCCAATAAGGAAAGACTAACTATAAGGTAGTCATACAATAGTAATTTGTATCTAGAAAATGTGTTGTTAATAGAAATACAGTTTGTTACTCACTGTGTGTATTCATCCCTTCCTTCGCCCAAGATTGCAAGAGGTGATGTTGGAGCAAGAACTGCTCGCATTCCCAGTTGAGCTCTCTGGGAAACCTCAGGAAGGAGACCACATTTTAACCCCAGACAAGTTAATTTCCATTTGTTAATTAGCAAGATGCTAGTTCTTTTTCTCAGTCACCATCCACCAAGCAGTGCAGGAACAATGCCAACAATTGTAAAGCCTTCGCCTTCTTTTTGACAGTGAGTTCTTGAAATTCATTCCCATCCACATTCTGAGCTTCTGCCTCTGTGTGTGTGTGTTTATCTTGTTTTCAGATGAAATGAGGGCAATTTCATCTAACTTTCCATAGTGAGGAAGGAAGCGATAATATTGCTCTGTTTAAATGGGTATTATCCAGCCTTCATTAGATTGGGCTGGAATTAAAATTCTTGCCACAATTGCTTCGAAAGCTACTCTGTACTTGTAAAGGAGACTTACCAATTAGCCTGCTTCCCAACCTGCTGAGGGAAATCCAAGTGTTTTAAAACTATCCCCAGAACATCCATACATCCATTTTCTCCTTTTTCTTTTTTTTTTTTTTAGCAGAGGAAAAACACTGTGATTCATACAAAGTTGCCTTTTTACATTTGGAAAATTTCAAAAGCTGGGGGACTACCTAGATCCAATTTATGGATTGGTCCTGGTGAAAGCAATGTCTTTTGGATGCAGATTTTGCAAAAGGTCGAATGCCTAAAGCATCTACTGTAGGAAGTGGGGGGTTGCACCTGCAGAAAACCTCTTTCATCTCCATCCTTCCATCCTCATTGATGAAAAGCTCCCTCAAACATATTCCTGTTCTGCCAACCTCCAGCAGCTGTTAACTGGAGATGCCAACGACTAAGCCTCCATGACCGCCCCTTTCCTTTTCCAAGTCTATGGAGGTTCATTCTTCAATCCCAGTCTTTTCTGATTGAAAGAGATATTCAAGAGTAACAGGAATGTGATTGTCTTGACTTATTAGGTCCAGCCCCCCAGCACAAGGCAGGTTGGTTTCCACCCCTGCCTTCAAGCAGCTGTACCTTTACAGTGGGCCCTACATAGCTACCTGTGTATCTCTTGTGACAGTTTTTATTGATCTCTATATACACAAGAACAGTCTTTCCAACCTTGAGCTTTTTGAATGTGTGGGATTGCAACTCCCATAACATCTCAGTTATTGTGTCTGATTGGGAATTGGAAGTTCATCCAAACAGGAAGTTCCAGGAAATGGAAAGCCGTTTTAGAGATTCTGCAGAAAGCTTCCATTACCTCTAAATCACACAAGCATAAATGTCTTCAAATCTTGACTAAGGAGTCTTCAATTTTATTATTTAAATCATTGAGCTTGCCTACTCAATCAAGGATGTTGGTTGGTTGGTTTCACATTAAAATTTCTCATCTTCAAGCACTCAGAGCTGTTTCATACATGTAAACAGCTACTCCAGCCCCCAGGCAATTCTCCCACCTCCTCCACACAGCACAGGAGACTTGAGGAACACTCCAACCACCATTTCCAACACTGCCTTCCAAACGCGCATCTGTGAAACACAAGAGTCCTGTTCCTGGGGTTCCCCACTGTTGCAACTGCCTAATGCCAAGAAAAGTGGAGTAAATATGCTGCTCCTGCCTGAGAGCATTTTCTCAGCATAGACCTCCTTCAAGCAATTTCCTGTGTTCCCCATCAGACACAACATCCGATCTCCGCATGTTTAATCATCTGCCCCCAGCTCTTTTATCTGTATTGCTAGTTGGGTCTACAGGACCAGTGCCCTGGCTGACTTTCACTGATTATAATTAGCTAAGCCTATTGTGAGCCACTCTGAACTCCTGCAGACCTTGTTAGTGACACAAAAGGGAGACTCCTGCTGGTTACGGGAGAAGCTCAGTTCAAGTCACCTCAGCTGGAAGTCCATCTTTGAATATCTTAACATTACTGAGCGTTAAGGAATCCTGCAGGCAATCCCCTGTCACTGTCGGTGTTAAATAAGCGGAATAACTATTTCTTGGAGATGCAACCATGATGAGGAAAGTCTTTCTAGTACTCCCTGGTAGATTAACTGAGATGCATATTATTCCAGCCATCCCTCTGTTATTCTGGCTGCATAAACCCACTGATATGGCCAACATAGGCACCAGCAATGGATAATCTTTGATCACTGCAAAAGGTGTCACCCAGATTCACAGAGGAAGGTTCACATAGTAGTCAAGAAGAGTGGAACACTCTAAGTACATGTATGTTTAATTTGAATTTGTGGTTATTGCTTTCGCCCCTTAACCAAATACTTCTAGGGTACTGACGAGGGCTGTTACAGTAATACATTTGGTATGCTTTATTTTTAAGGGGAAAAAAATCTTGTAAAACCTGTTCTTATCTCAAACAAGCTCTTAGCAATAACCTTAGGTAGTTTGGTGTCTGAAGCAAAAAGATTATAATATTAACATGGTAATAATAAATTATCACTCTTTAATTAGCTGCTCGGAATGCCCTCTTATAAACTAATTCTTTCACCCACTAATAGATTTGGAGAGAGTGTAGCTAACTGAACTAAATCAAGAAGAGGCAAGGCACAAACTGATACCTTCCAGGTCTTTTGGGCTACAATTTCCAGGAACTCCAACTAATGTGTCAATTGTGTAGTACTTGTGGGAATTGTAGTCCAGAACAGATAGATGCTGCCTTTCCCCTCGATGATGAGAAACATAATAGGAGGCAAATGTTGATTTTTTGTTTGTTTTTTATTTTGGTCCACCCTCGCAGGTTGAACCCCTTTACCTCTTACAAGTTCCGCCTGAAAGCTACTAACGATGTTGGAGACAGCGACTTTGGCGCTGAGACGGAGGCGGTCACTACGTTGCAGGATGGTAAGGACCAGAGCAGCCAGCCAACTTCTGCAAAAAGCTACGCTTGGGGCACCTGTTTCATCATAATTCAGGAAACTCACCTAGTTGTTCATTCCCAACTTTGTACATTGGGACGGAAGGGCTGGAGTACAGGTAGTCCCCAGTTTAAGAACGAGTTCTGTTCCTAAGGTCTGTCCTTAAGTTGAATGTGTATGTAAGCTGGAACGGTGTTATTGTATAATGCTGTATAAGTAGCATTGTGCAATGAACTCGAATCATTGTGTATTTAACTCGAATTGTGCTACAGTAGTCTCCATTCTTAACTATGGGTCATCTGTAAACCAGGCATTCTTAACCCAGGGACTATTGTATAATGCTGTATAAGTAGCATTGTGCAATGAACTCGAATCATTGTGTATTTAACTCGAATTGTGCTACAGTAGTCTCCATTCTTAACTATGGGTCATCTGTAAACCAGGCATTCTTAACCCAGGGACTATTGTATAATGCTGTATAAGTAGCATTGTGCAATGAACTCGAATCATTGTGTATTTAACTCGAATTGTGCTACAGTAGTCTCCATTCTTAACTATGGGTCATCTGTAAACCAGGCATTCTTAACCCAGGGACTACCTGTATACGCCCAGCCAAAATTAATTCTTGGGTCACTGTAACCATATTTAGATGTTAGCCCTTCCAGGTAAGCCAGCTCAGGAAACAAGCATCGCAAAGACTACTGGAACTCTGTTGTTATGGAGCACAATGACAGAATTGTGAAAGCTTGACAGAGATTCTCCTCCCTCCTACACCCCAGAGAATTGATCCAGGGCAATCTTTCTCACTCCCTCCTGCCTTTCAGGGCTACATTGGTGTTCATGAAACTGTTGAACCCTTCTTCTGGGCCACCTCCATATTATTCTACATTATTCTCCTTGATAGCTTTCCCACAGTATCTTCTGAGTTTTTTATTCCGCACCTTGAGTGCATAGACACACATTCCTTGGAATAGGCAGGAATGATAGGAAGAGCTCTTGGACTCCTTTGTTGTTGAACTGTAGAGCTGGGCTGCAGAGTAACACATTTCTCATCTTCATATCTGGGTTTGTTTGTTTTTTTCCTTTCTAGTTCCAGGTGAACCACCAAATTCTGTGTCTGTGACCCCATACACGACATCCTCGGTTCTGGTGCAGTGGCAGGTTAGTACGAAGTAAGCCCTGAGGCCAGGGCTTCAGTGGCCAGGAGAAGATTCCTGGCATAGATATCAGAGAGCTGCCATGTGCTGGGTGTGAAAGGAATCATTAGGATGAAGCTCGGAACACGTCAATCCCTCCTTGACAGATGCCAGCGTACTGTCAGTGTTAAAATATCATCAGGTTAATAGAGGTGCTGTTTTTGTTTTTAATAAATTTATATGGCCCCCCCGTCTCACGTATGGGCAGCTCACAATGAAAAGCAAAATAAAAACAGGTTAGAACAACCACAGTGTAAAAACGACAACATTTTGTCCTTTGTCTCCAGTTGTTTGGGTATCCCCGCAAAGAAGGTTCTACATCTCCACGCCATCACCTGGGCCAGGCTTGCCCCAAGCTGGTACCTTCTGATAGGATTGGAATACATCCCCCATTCTTCCAATTCTGCAAGGCACAGCATCACAGAACAATTTCCCTGAGATCACACAGGGCCACTGGATCGGAGAACAGGCTGGGAAGCTGGGTAGTTCCCTCTTAGGTACCGCTTTGTTGTGTAGACTTTGCGTCGGCCTTCCTGATTGCACAGGAAGCCACGTTCATGGAGCAATCACGGTTACAACATGTAAAACATGGAGCATATTGACTGTTTTTAACCAAGGAATCAAGCGTAGGTACCAATCAGCGACCCGCCTCTCAGTCAAGCATACAATGAAGTTCCACTAACGCAAGCAAAGGACAATGCAGTGGTGCACATCTCATTAAAGGTCGATCCTGTTGATAGATTTGGGGTGGATAATGAATGTGGAATAGGTGGTAGTTTAGATAATTAGGCACCTTTTATTTCATGAAAACCTAATGGGATAGTTGCACCCGAGCCGCATCAAGGGAATTGAAGGCAATTACATGTCATTACTATGCTTACATTATTTGGGCACTCAGCGGTTTAGGCTCTATAGTTTTCTAATAAAAAATGTAAAATAATTTGAGACTCCAGCTAAATGCAGAGAAAACACAGGTGGGCATAAGGTAATGTTTTATTGCTTTGCTGGGGAATGCAGGAAGCAAAATTAAATGCTGGTGCATTGAGCATAATTTCATACCCATCATAAAAACAATAGAGTTCTTGCCATCATAAATCTGTTCAGGACTGATTTCATGTTCCATTTTGTGTGGAAGTTAACTTGCAAGCTTTGTTCTCACCTGTTTCTTCCTTTGATCCAGAATTTGTCGCAATTGCACAGCGTAAACACATGGTTGTTATCATTCCTCTGAATCATAATAGATTTCTGTGCCTCTGCAGTTCCCCTGAGCCTCTCTCAGAGATAGTTAGGAAATCCTAAATAATCCTTTACATCAAAACCTGAATTTTACTCATCAAAGATGGATAAGAGCAGGATGCCCTGATCTTTTGATAGAGTACCTTTCCCAGGGCAGAAATAAAACTGTCAAGGCAAAGAAGGAAATGTCATCTCATGCCATTTATCCCAGGTTTCTTTGTGCTGGACAGCTTCCAAATCTGAGATCAGACACAGACCACAGGGAGAGTCCCCCTTGTTTGCTTTTGAGATGTGGACCGGATATGAATCAGGAAATTGGTATGAAGGACAGGAAGGAAAATAACTGGGGGGAGGGGAGGAGGAAATGCTGTGGAGCCCTCAGTATCACAACCTTGATTATGGAAAATGAGTTGTTAATTGGTTTGGTGATGTATCCCCCGTTAGATTCTAAACAACAGAGCCTCCTCTCTTTATCTCCCTCTTCTTATCTAGTTTCTAATTAAGTGAACATAAGGGATATTCTCCCAGACTATCAGAAACATGGCCTCAGGCAAGCAGCTTAGCAGTATACCAAAATATGTTCTGGAGACCACCAAGCTGAAATTAGGAGGTGGAGAACAGTAAATCAAAGTTAAGGCAGACTGCAGATAAATGATGTAGCTCCTTTCTCCTACCTCCCAGGGAGTGAAGAGATCTGGGCCCTGTTAGACCAACTCTATAAAGTTTGAGGTGAAGCAGATGATCTCAGGAACAGCTTTGTGCCTGGAATGTGGAATGAAAGCCACCTTGGTCACCTTGATTGACCTCTTAGGCTTGCCTAGGTAAATCCTGATGTATTCCTAACCTGTGTCAGCAGAGGAAATGGCGAAGGCTTTCATGGCCGGCATACAATGGCTGGTGTGGGTCTTCCGGGCTGTGTGGCCGTGTTCTGGAAGTTTTGTTTCCTAAC